ATATTTATCCCGATGTTTAAGCGTAAAGCAATACAAAACATACGAACAACATATTTAAAGTTCATTTCATCACAAAATCACTTAAAATAAATGGCTCAAAAGCCATGATGCCAAGCCACAATAAAAATAAGAAATAAATAGTAAATTGTGTTTCCCTTTTTTAAGTTTTTAATTCCAAACTTAGACAACCCTCCACAATTGTTTAATAAATCTTTTGAGATTATTTTATTAACATTTCTGATAATCACATCTATAGACGCTCAAGATTTACTTCAACAAATATTTCGCCATTGTCCTTTGCAGGCGCGATTTCAATTTCAACAATTAGGGTTTTAATAAAAAATAGTAATACTTAAATATTTAAGTAAGTAGGTATCTTCTTCTTCAAATTTATTACAATCGAGGTTTCTAATTTAATTATGGAATACTTTTATATACTTCTATATAAACACGAATTTATAGCGTGCTCATGTATTATAAAAAGTACTCAAATCTATAGAACAAAATCTTCTCGTTGACGAATAGTATACAATATAGGAAAAATAAGCACTGAACGAACCACTATAGAACTTAAATAAAACAAGTTTCAACGGGTTAGATGCACTGATTTTATTTATTTATTGACGTTTCGCAGACTTCGCAATTATCAAATCTAATTTAATGGTTTGGTCCCCCTAATGCATGTTCACACACTGCATCTTACCCGTTGAAACTTGTTTTTTTTAATGAGTGATGTGCGTGAAAACCTAAAAAATAAATACTATAGAAATTAATTTAGTTTTAAAATATTTAATTTCTCTTTATAAACTTGAATAACAATTTTAAAAAAAAACATGAGAAAATATATTTATATTTCAAGTAAGTTTTGAAGCGTGTGAGTTTATTGTTAGCAATAAGGTAAAATATTCATCATCCTTTCTAATATATTTGGTACATAGTACAAATAAGCACGTAACGATGAAAAAGTCACGTGGTCCTATTTCCAATGTGGTTTTGTTCTAAATCCAGATCTGATATTTTGTTTATGCATCTTTGTTCTATCTTCACATAAAAACCGTACCATAAACCGTACCGTAAAATAAGATATAATTAATAACCACCCAAAGACGAAAGTTTAAAGTCAATATCATAAGTGGATCGTGTTAAAATTACGCTTTTTTTAAAGAAAATGATAAAGTGGTCTCTTGTAAAATTTACTTAATGGTAAATAGAACAAACAAGCACTGGAGCGACGTTGTGAGTAATGTTTTAAGATTAAACGTTTTCATGTCTCAGGACTAACAAGTTTCAAGAATAGGACTTTATTAAAATCCTTACTGACAGCAGTAATTACGTAGTTCTACTACCTTTCTCTAGAAAAAAAAGTAACAGGAACTCAATATATTGTACAGTAGTAAGTACATAAGTTCGCATTTTTAATTAAACTTGGTCTGGACAGACAATATTTTTAATTTCTTTTGTGGCAACTGTCAGATGAAAAATACAATCCTGCTAAGCAAAAGTATTAGTCGCGTATCTCTGTTAAGATTTCAATTTTAGTCAGGTTGAACTTTAAAATTAATATGGCTATGTTGGTATTCTGCAATAAAACAAAATGTCTTCCTTTATAAATCAAGTTGAAATAAAATAGTAATTAGCATTTGTAATTAGTTTTCAAAGAATTAATTGTAATATTGTTTTCAAAGAATTTATTGTATTATTGTTTTTAAAGCATTTATTGTAATTATAATGTGTGGAAAGACCCTGCAAAAATCTCAAATTTGTAGCATAAGGATTGAGCGCAAATCTACCTCGGATATATTTTTTGCCGAATTCCACAAGAGCTTAACAGATAAATAAATTTCATTAATAAATGATCCTTTATTTATTTTTATTTTGGATAAACGAATATACAATTGGGACACCCCAATCGCAGCCAAGCGCAGACTTAGATTTTTTTTTCGCAGATTTTTTAAGGAACTTCGTCTTAGCCGAATTTTGGCTTTTAGGACTTTGAATTTTTCAAGGGGGTGGTGATGTCTCATGACCCCCTATTTTTTTAATGGAAATGTTTTGTGGAGGTAATAAGGAACAACTTTTTTTTAGGATTTTTTTTTGTTAACCAGCATTTCTATGATCCCACCAGTGCCTATAATATATGTAAGGCGACACAGCACTTAGAATTTTTCAGAGGAGTGGTGATGTCCCCATGACACCCTATTTTTTTGATGCAAATGGGTTATAGAAGTCATAAGGAACAACGTTTGTATGGGATACTTTTTGGATAACCGAATGTCCACCCCGAAACACCGGGGTCGTGGTCTGCTTTACCCCTAGAGTGTTTAGAGCCCGGAATGCACGTCCTTTCATGCAAAATGTTTTACGAGACGCACAATATTCTTTTCAGAATGGATAAAACGTAACACTCGTTCGGAGTCTAACTAATAATAGTTTGTATTAGTTAATTTTTCAAAGTTCCTATACGGGTAATTGTATTTATGTTTTTAATTTTCCAGCTTGGCTGCAACAGAAACAATGCAAGTACAATTGTTCGTCGTGCTGTGTTTGGGTTTATTGCTGTTAGGTTCACTTGTGGCAATTTTGCTTATCTCAATTTAACTAAATCTAGATTTAGTCTGTATAATATCAAGTGGACATACGTTTGACATTTTTCTATGGATTAAATCTAGTTTTAGTGAAATAGAAATTTTAGCAAGTGGACCTTGCTCCCAAAGTATGAAATATTTAAGATTTATGAGTACCTACCACTACTACCACAAAGCATTATTTTTTATAGATATCTAGTAAGGTACATCACTATTTTTTTCGATATCTGTTAGGGTACATCACTATTTTGACATTTCCTACTTATGTTGGTAGTATGTTTTTTTTTATTATGGTTGATACAAAAAGCACACCTAATTCGGGGCAAGGGCTAATATGAAAGTGCCGACTCTTATAGATTACGTGCTCAGTGCATCTTACTGGCGGTAAGAAATTTGGAATAGTTGTTAATTTTTTTTATTCACCGTAAATTTTGAGATATTTGAAAAACTTAAGAATCTTATAAATAAAAATTCTGAGGAAAGTTATAAGCAGTAAACGTACCACACCTCGATACCAATTTATAGCGCTTACAAAATATCCTATAAACGGCTCAAATTTCACTGGTACAGAACATAGTTATCTATAATGGAATTATTATCAGTTGAAACTACGTAGAAACTTAAAGAAGTTAGCATATGGGGGAAATATCTTAAAAATACTAATTCTATTCTATAATTACCGCTGCCCTATCTTAAATACAACTCCGGCTACGGCCCTGCATCTGATGTTTAGTGGGCTCAGCTTTCCATAAATTGTGAGCGTATTCGCTATGTGCACGACAGTAGCGCCACCTACAATGCGCAACTTTCCGGGATTATGCCAAATAATGACATCAGTTTGTATTTTATTGATTTCTAGTAAATATAGTAAATTAAAGATAAATAAAAATTATTATATATTGTATAATAATTTAAATACTGTCGGATTTCAATTCGGAATTTAGTACAGTCAATAATAACTCTTGTATTGATGTAATCTGGACTGAAACACTTGGGCATTGTTGCTTGTACGGTGGCTCTATTCGGCCAAAAGATTAAATTAGCAGTTGAACAAGCTAGATTTTGTAAGATCGAATGAAATATACGTGAGATTGTGGTTTTTTTGTACACCAAATAACACACTCAATGCTGAAAATGTCAAGCCATTTTTCATTTTTATCAAAAAAATCAGAAGTCGGTCTTTAGTGGAAACTGTACATTTTTTCATAGTTAATCTTGTTTATAAAAACTCAAAATTGCTAAATGACACACCAGAAGGATCTAGGAGTTCTTGATCATTTGTTATTGATGAAATACCAACAAATTCTTGACTTTTTGTTTCGGTAGATTGATCCTCATACGATTTTTTGTCAGTGCCACAGCTTTTATCTTTCTTTCTTGAATTATTTGTCATTAAAATTCTTGATGTTGGATTTCAGCATCACAGTGATCACTGTAAATTAATCTAATACAAATAAAAGTTGTATCTCTTAATTTCGATTCAGAAAACATATTGACTTGACATCCTTGATCGATCATAAAAGGTTGAGTTTGATTTAATTCACTCCCTTCTTCAATTATTATTTGACTTGATGTGGTATCTGAGACTTTTGTGGTTCTTCGTTTTGTCAAGCGTGTATATCTAGCTAGGACCTGTGAATCATTAACCTTCCTCTTTCGATATATTTCAGGGAATATCGTAGGAGCATAACTCGGATTTTCTTCCTCGTCTGATTTTTTGTTTCCCATAAAATGTTCACTACAAATTGTGTCGTCAGGTTTGGGATACCATGGCGACCCATCAACACTAAAATAATAAAGACAATAATGAATATCACATAAAATATATAGCGCAAATAAAATTGATCATAATTTAAGGTTATTTCGCTTACTTATTTCTTTTTATGGCATCTATCCATTTATTTCTTTGATTTAATTTCCAGTCCAATGTAGGAAATATATACACAGACTATTTGTGCCCTTATTTTTGCAATTCACAACACAACAACATCTATTAATAGGCATTTTAAAAAATTTTTGTTTATTACGAACTCCGTGCAAATTGACTTTACTTTCCCGGATTGTTGCGTATTTCTGCCACGATAAGCGCTGCGATCGCTTCACTATACCCCCACCATGTACTTCGCACATAGCGAATAGCGAGCTGAAATTTTTGGCACGAAAAGTATTCATTATTAGAAACACCAAGATGAGGTCCATTAGCGTATAAACAGTTTTACCTGATTGTAAGAAGGATGGAACATACGCACGAGCAATGAATAATAATTATTAATAGAGTTACAATGAAATGGAAAGTGAATAAGGATTTTCAGATCTTGCGTGACAGCGCTACAATGAAATGTGAACTTGCGAAGTGATCAAGCGTATAGCATTCTAATGACGTATTTCTGTGAACCGATAAGTTAATATACTCACGATGAACGATTAACTTGAAACGCTTCAACATCGGTGGATGAGTTGACACGTGACAGCAATATATCCCGGAGTCGAGCACTTTGGCGTCGGTCAAAGCCAACTTCCAATTATCACCGGCAAGATCCATTCTGTATCTGTGAACGATGTATTTGATATAATTCGATGAACAATGTGGTAAGATATTGGTATTGGTTCGAATGGTTGCGACTGCTGGATTGTTCTATGTCTTCTTTGTATGATATGAGTGTTAAGTGACTTACATGAAATAGTGTTATGAGATGGGATTGTCCAATGTTAAAGTATCCAATTTCGAACAAATCTTTGCTTTGAAAGACACCTAATGTTATAAAGTAAAAAAAATAACGATTGTACCACTTAAAAGATAATGACATTAAAATTTGGGGTAATAGTCTCATCAAGGTTCTTATTATCCGTTCAACTTTCCTTGAACGTTGACATCTTGAACTTACAAACGAACACTTTTTTTTGGAGTGTGTATGCTGTTTGTCGCAGATGACCTTTACAGCGTCACCGGGTTTGGGGACAGCCAGATCCTAAGGGGAACTCAAGCCGAGAATTCGCGAGTGCCGCTAGAGTTATTCCAGACGGATAGCTTCTCCCCATGGAGGACTCCCCCATGGGGAGAAGCTATCCGTCTGGATCCTCACCTCTCCACTCGAACCTGAAGGGGTCGGCTCAACAGGGCATTTTTGAGAGACCTCGGCTCTGTTTAGCCTTTGTCGTGGGGGGCGGGAAAAACGCTCAGGTAACACGAGCAAGGCAAACGTACCTGTAACTGGTATAGCGTGTCGTGTGTAGACCGGGTCTTCACACTTTTATTCTACGGGTGCGGTGTCTGCCTAATGCTTAGCTTGTGTGCAAGTTTGGTAGCTGTGTAGTGTTGGTGTTTGTGGCCTGTGTGGGAGGAATCGGAGGCGCGTTGGTTCGGGTGATTTCGTCGTCGGGGTACTGTAAACCGTGCCTAGGCCGACGGAAACGGTGGGATCAAACGAACGCTTAAACTTTAGATGTTATTTATTCTCAAATTTTTAATAACGTTTTATTGTAAAAAACATTTGCTTTACATTTTTCAAAGACCTTAAATTTTTAAGGCTTCGGTATTAGCATGGCTATAACTTTTTTATGTAAAAGTATCAGTGTTTTAGATACTGTTTTATTTTGGGTTAGTCCAGTTTAAAGTCTTTCCTTGGACAATTCTAATCTATAACTAAGAGTGAAAAAGTATAGTTAACTGGTTGGTTAATTAAAATACACGATTCTTAATATTTATTACTGTTAATTAGATTTACGTCGACACATCCTACCAATACACGATAGTAAATGCTATTATTTACATTTATAAGTCAAACAAAAATGTTATTTAGTTTTTGGGTTTCAGTTTTCCAGTCACAAACTTCGTATACGTAAAGTAAAAATAGAAACTATTAAGTATAAAATATTAACAGATACAAAGTACCATAAAAAACTGACAGTTGTTCGAACTTTTAGGACTTTTATGAAGCAGCAAAATTTTCAACAATGATAAGAGTGTGTTTACCATAAACTTTTAATTGGACCCAAAAGCAGCGGTTCAAGAAAAAAACCTATGCAATACACATAGATATAACTCATTTTAACAATATAACAAAAGTTTTATGGTTTCAGTATTTGTTACAATAACTACCAAAGTAACTAACATAACAAAGTGAAATAAACAGCTTATACGTGATAACGTGTATCGAATATTGAAGAGGAAACAAAACATTAGTCGTAGTCAAGCTTTCTGATTAAAGTAATTAAATAAGGATAATTTACTATTCCCGTAAATGCAAAATAGAGTTAAAATTATCGAAACATAAAATAAAAAGGAGATACATGTTTTTACTGATGCAACTAATAATGATGACTGCACCTTTAGAAAATCATAATACAATTTAAATTGCTGAATACTACATTATGAAGACAGGTTTTTAGGATTAACTGGAGATATAAAAAAGTATACTTATTGTCACTGTAACAAAAAATAATAATGAATGTCGTTACTTTTGGAACCAAGTTCATTTTCGGACGGTAACCTATAAGAGTTTTTGCAGTTCTTTGTAGAACTTTCAAAATCGCAAAATATCTACCATCGAGCTCCAGTTTCTTCAGGTCCATGTCTGTTTTGTTATTCAGTTCATCACTAATTACATTAACTTACCGTGAATCCGCCGTGTGTGTTTCTAAGTCTACGGTGAGAAGCTCTAAATTTTCATCCTCGGACACTCTTATCCACGATACCTGTAACAAAAGTGCAAAGTAAATTTTCGAGAATTTCGCTTTTTTCGATTTACGTATTAAGGATGTCAAGCAAGCATGAGGCCCTCCTGCTATTAAATGTCTATCGTACATATTTACCTACACTACAAATTTTAAAGTAACTCTGCCTTTGTGTTCTTTATTGGTATCATTTTCATCATCAGTATTAATTTCCCCACTGTTGGCAGCAGATTCAACCATGATCAACGGCACCGCAAATCCCCCTCGAAGCACAAAGGAAGTTAATTTTTCGTCGCCAAAAAGATTACTCCAAGCTCTTTTTTGTGTTTTGTCTATTTTAATCCTAACGAAAAATATATATGTATTACTTATATACATCTCTATATATAAACAAAGCTTATACGATATAAACAAAGTATTTTTTATGAGAAGCTTTATATATTTTAATCGGAACGTTTTCTTGTAGCATTTTTTCTTTTGTTTTAATACGATATATATTTTTCTTTTTTTCTTTATTATTTATATGGAGATGCGTGAAGGTTTTATGATATTCTGTCAATAGCTGCGATTTAAAAGAAATAATGTTCTATTTGTATAATCTCAGAAATGAAAGAACGCGTTTAAAATTGAATACTTGTTAACTTTTTTTTCTTCAAACGCCACAATAACAATAGCAAAAGGCACACTTTTGAGTAATAATGAAAGCATAATATAAGCTAGACAATTATGGAACATTTTATTTATTCACAATAATAACCGGTTAAATTATTTCAAGGATCATCAATTAGCTATTTTCTCATTAGTCAGGCGTAAGGTATTAATTAGTCTCAGGAACAATAGCGGCCGGTTGTAATTTTGATTTAATGATACAGAAATGACGATAATTCTAAGTAATTACGAAGGTAGAGTTCTTTAGACAGAGCATGTAACAAATTTTCGGTAGCGCCCGTTTTCCCACGGCAATCGATGAAACTTTTTTCCTGATCTACTTTTATTTTGCTACGAAAATCAATAAAACTAACATTACTAATGTTATGTTATGTTATTAAAATATGCCTTACCACTGCAATCAATGAAACTATGTACACTCACATATATCGAAATTTCTTTCCGCAAGGCAATTCATGAAACTCATTACACTGAACAGATATAACTGTCCCACGGAAATCAATGAAACTAATTTTACGTCTCCGATTTTATTGTCCCACGGAAATCGATGAAACTAACATAACAGATCAGCTTTTGCTGTCGCCCGGAAATAATGAAACTAATTTTACAGATCGGATTCGTTTTCTGTACTGCAATCAGGGTATTCTGGAATGACGTGAACCAGGTGGCAGCACTGCGATGAAGGCTCTACTCATCCGTCAAATCACCTATGTCGTATAGTATACAGATCAATTTAAATTCGAGCCAAAAACTTAATACAAAAGACCTCATGTCATATTAGCGCCAAATGCTAAAGGGCTACTCTGTAAAATTTTCACACGCGGATCCGCATCGGATTCGCACGTTCCCCATATAGATTTACGCGAAACCGCATCGGATCCGCGCGTTAATAATTTACAGACCCGCTGCTGGGATAGATTTCCCTAAACAAGAGTGTGTTAATGAAACTAATTAAACGGATCGGCTTTTACTATAATTTATTTGTTGAAGATTTTTTATTGAACGTCAATAAAATAACGAATGTGATCTCCTATTTCGATCTGAGCAGAGTCGTTGTGGTATATATGTACGAGTATTTCTACAAAAATATTCTTATCAATTTAGCATCATTATGTGACATGAATTTTCATGAATTTTGACTTAGCCGAACTTTAAAATCGTGTTAATAAGCATAGTGCGAACTGTTATCAACAGTTGACGTACTACACCCTTATTTACTTATACAAAATTATTAATTTATATAGTTTAAATATCCTAAAACGGCGCAAATTTGTAAATAATATTACGTGTCGGGATGGGGTTCGAAATTATATGCCACTTCACGCTTGGCAGTTCTTTATTCACCACACAGTTCACACAATTAACACACAATGTTAATTACAAAACACTCACTAAACACTGTATTTCACTATACAAGTCTCTAAACAATCGCACTTGAACACTTGTTGCACTTTAATCGCCTTTGGATTCACTCCGAAATCGCTGTTGAAACTCAACTGTCTCTGCGCAGTGCCAATCGCGCTTATATACGCCGATCGACGCATCCTAGAAAGTACCTGTTAAATTGAGAATTAGCTAGCACCCGCGAATACGTAGTGCCTACTTATACCTACGTAGGTAACACGCATAACTTGTAAACAGGTGCAGATGTCGTTGCACTTTCTCCCTTACGCCGCACTTCATAAAGCTCATTTTAGAATGAGCCGCATTACTCGACCTCTATCGCGACCCACGGTCACGGTAATAATATCATACAGTATTCTATCTTCATACAAACGGTCGGAAAGCGAGTCATACCTACGCCACTCGAGTTCGATGTGCGCTCGGCGTGCACCCAGTCGCGAATGCGCCGCCGCGCCGCAACGACGACTGAACGGTCTGAATTGTTTTTTATGCAGTTAGCCGTGCTTAAACATGCGTTTTGTATTGTAAATATTTGATTTAATTAAGTAGATACCTACATAATTTAGTATGGAAAAGAACAAACGACGATCAATATCGTACAACAGCACAATTGCTGTTTTTGGTTGCTTGAACTCTTCAATAACACACCCAGAGATATCATTTTTTAAATTACCTGAAATATTGGAAAGGTGTCTTACCTTTATTGAATATTTTTTATATACCTATCTAGTAGTACGTTATTTGTTTCTAATATTTAGGTATTTCGGTTTTTCCATCGGGCAAAATATCTGGAATAATATATAAATAAGTGGTTAGGATGAAAAAAGAGACAAACGAGTAATCTACCTACACTCGCGTTAAAAACAAAACTACATAAAATACTGTAGGCTGGCGGCCCTACCGCGTGCCAACCTAGCGTTCGGTGTAGGCATTTATTTTCAAGGACAGGGCGGAGTCACAATACTGTATAGATAATATTACCGTGGTAATATTATACCTACAGTATTTTATGTAGTTTTGTTTTTAACGCGAGTGTAGGTAGATTACTCGTTTGTCTCTTTTTTCATCCTAACCACTTATTTATATATTATTCCAGATATTTTGCCCGATGGAAAAACCGAAATACCTAAATATTAGAAACAAATAACGTACTACTAGATAGGTATATAAAAAATATTCAATAAAGGTAAGACACCTTTCCAATATTTCAGGTAATTTAAAAAATGATATCTCTGGGTGTGTTATTGAAGAGTTCAAGCAACCAAAAACAGCAATTGTGCTGTTGTACGATATTGATCGTCGTTTGTTCTTTTCCATACTAAATTATGTAGGTATCTACTTAATTAAATCAAATATTTACAATACAAAACGCACGTTTAAGCACGGCTAACTGCATAAAAAACAATTCTGACCGTTCGGTCGTCGTTGCGGCGCGGCGGCGCATTCGCGACTGGGTGCACGCCGAGAGCACATCGAACTCGAGTGGCGTAGGTATGACTCGCTTTCCGACCGTTTGTATGAAGATAGACTACTGTATGATATTATTACCGTGCCACGGTGCTCTAGCACATTCGAGCTCTAGCACTTTCGCGGTTCCGCTTCGAGAGCGTTTGTGACAATAACATACCTATTATGGAATTATTATCCGTTTAATTTATGACAATTAAAATTATAAGGTTTTATAATTGCAGAAATAGTGAGTGAAGGTGGAGACATATTCGAAAAAAAAATGTATTTTTTTTGGGGAAATATAATCTAAATCATTATTTGAATCAGCTAGTAAAGTTTCTCAGGTAACTCAAAATTCACGGTGTATACCTCTACTTTCTTCAGTTATCCCAACACACATCTCATAAAGCTACTTTGGTGGTAGGCTAGTTGGCAGTATTATGCAACTTAAATATAACTTGTTAGGGTAATTTTGTTAAATTTTTTTTTTCAATATCGTTGATTCAACTAAATCTAGGTTTTCATTGTTTAATTTAATTCTAATGGTTTCGCTTCTAACATTAGGTAAAGTGAATTTAATGCATTTGGTTTTATTTGCATTTAATTTTAAGTTATTTACATTAAACCACTGCAATACTTGTGAGAGAGCTTTATTTACATCGTCAAAGTTATTCTTGTATCGGTCAACCTTAATGTTTGTTTTCATTATTTACAACTTCTCGTGATGAGGTGAATATAGTATAAACAAAGTTGTTCTGCTCTTTTGTGCTGTTATATTTTCCAGCACGTTTCCAGACTTATTATTCTTTTGTTGGAGATTTATTTTCTACCTCACAAGTGAATACGTCGGTCTGCACCGATACTCTCAACTCAAGACCTACTAAATGATTTACAGCACTACCTTTTATGGACAGGCAACGTAAATAATCTTTTGTGCATTTCCTTGAAGCCTTGAGAAAATATTGATTTAGTATACGTAGTAAGAGACGCTGCATCCAGCAATATGAAAACAGAAAGTACTGTTCACGAAAAAAATGTCCTAGTATTAGCGTTACTGTAGATATCGAAAATTATTTGAATGGCAACACTTTTAAAAACTTTTGGGTACTGAAATAATTTTTTATCACTATAAATGAACACGACTTCAACAATGAGAGCTAAATTAAGCCAATTTATCTCAGATATATCACGTTGGAATTAAACATTTCATTCAATATCCGTGCATTAATGCTCTGACCATTGTGTTACCGAGACCATATCGGGATTTTCAAAAATTTTCTTCTTAGACTGCAAGGCATAAGTCAAACCAACGATCTGTGTAATAAGCTCCATCTTTTTGTGCAAAGAACTCTTAATTTAAGTTTCCTTTGGTTGAATTTCAAAATTTGTAATCTGCTTATTCAGCCACCACTGAGTTCCGCAGCCTTGTTTCGCTTTAAATAAATATATTAGAACAATTTAAATATACGGAGTTTTTTAATTGAAATTCCGTAAAAGTTAACCGGTTAGCCGCGGGCTGACCGGCCTGATCTTGACGTAATTATGGGGTTGACCGAACCAGGAAAAGGGTAGAAAGTTGTCGATAAAAGCCACAAGACCCTGAAAGTTTTCATCGCAGAGCAACGATATCTTGGAAACCTGTTACTTTTGTTTTTAGTTACTTAACAATTGAAATTCGAACAATGCCAAATGTAACGTTAATTTGAATAATGGGGTCGCTATTTTATATTGCTTTATAGATATACCTTATCTGTAAAGTATTATTCAAGGAAGTAATGAAGTGTATGCAAAAAGAAAAATAGCTGGCCAACTTACGTAAAATAGCTATAACGACAGATAAAGTAAATTAAAACCTAATGATAAAAAATATGGAAAGCCTTCATTTAATGTTTATTTATCTATTTATTAGGATTTAACTTAGCGAAACTCGACGGCGCAAGTAGTAAGTGCGTTCGGCTGCGATCGTTAAAGTTAAGCAACTTTCGTAGTGGTCGGTCATTGGATGGGTGACCAAAAATTTACTATCTCGAGCTCCTTCGTGCTTCGGAAGGCACCCCGAAGCCATTAGTCCCGGCTGCAGTGGCAGTCGTTATCACCCACCAATCCGTGCTGGGCACGCGTTGTAGGTCATGGCTGAGTCTCCCTGTTCCATACATAGGGGGGCCTGTGCTCCAGCAGTGGGGCCATTAATAGGCTGAAGATAATGATTATTTTTTTACTATTTTATATCTCTCATGTTTTCAAAAAAAAAATAGCCCAATGTAGCCCAGTTACTGGCGCACAGTGGAGGCATAGTAATGGGATCGCATGTGATTTAATTGCAGGAAAGAAAATTTAAACCAACAAAGTGCATGTCGAGCGGCGCGCGATGTTGAGGTCCGTAGTTGTCCAACATGTATTGTATACATATAGGGAACATATCAAGGCACGCTTAAACAGCATTTGGGCATCAGATTCAAATTTTATGTTTGCTAATAAACATTAAAATGTTGATGTTGAGATAAAATAAATGTAGGTTGAAGCATATTATAGCTATGTTCTGTAGCATACATAAGGTATGTTTCCATTCATATTTGTTAAAAAACAACAATCTGACACTCGGCCCCTTATTACCTCAGGGCTTGTAACGTACTCCAATATGATATACCAATTATGGATTAATATATCACAAACGAATCTCGTTTTTTTTCAGAAACCCACAATATTTTTCACATAACTATTCAACTTCACCTCATTCACATAACACCTCATAAATGCGAAACAGACAAGGGGAAAAATGATAATTCTCACTGATGATTAACACATATTTGATGCTTCGGACCTAGTAAAAAAAGACGCTCTTGGTATTTTTTGTGATCTTTCTAAAGCGTTTAAATAGGTAGCGTAGATGACCAAACCTTACTCAAAAACGACATTATTGTGTTTTTTAATTCACTTAATTTGTTGAACTCATATCTCACAGGCAGTAAACAAAAGTTTGTATTCATTAATACACCATTGTAATAAGTTTTCTGTAGCACCTAACTATGGACGTGCTGCAGGTATCATCAATATAAGAACCTTTTTATTTGTATCGCTGTTGGTTTCTCAAAAATAAATAAATAAACCTTTACCGTTCCTTATTTAGATTAATGACATTTTTTACTTTGTCAAAGATCTATGTGATATTGTGTTATTTGCTGATGACGCATCTCTAATTTTCTAAGTTGATAGAGGTAAAAAACGATTACTTTATTCTTTTACCACTTTATCGGGGTGACAAATATGTATAATCAAGTGAGTCTAAGTCTTCTAATACTAAGAGTTCCAGAGCTAAGCTGCGGACACACGGATGGATAAAAAGTCAATTCAAAATCATGGATACTACAAGTTGTCTTAAAAATAAGGGGAAACTGTAACCTGCCACATTCAAACTGAAAAGGTATAGAAATGAAGTATTAACATCACACAATCAACGTACCGTTTTGTCCCTTAGTGATGTGACTCGACAGTCCATCATCACAGTTGAACCCGTATCAGCGTTGACGATAGTGTCATCAGCATTCATATCGCCTTCAAATGATGGAGGTTTGAACCTGAGAAAAATGGAAATTGTTTCATTCATTGGTATTTATTTATAATTATCTGAAGTTTATGCTATTGAATATGAAACCTTTATCTGAAGACCCGAGAATTATGTTTAATTAATAATCTTATTGAGAAAAGACATGAATATCTTTGCAAACATTTAGGTATTGTTTTTTATTCATAATTCATACTATGCAGTATGTACGTATTCGAGCATAATTCTTTGAATATAATAAGTTATATGCCACTGGGAACATTCCAAGATTCCAGTAGTTTCTGATTACAAATTCTACTACTACAAATTCACAGAATTACCTATTTTAAATTAGCCCCGGGATTTTTGGGAATCTAACCGCAAACATTTAAATTGAAATTCATTCGTCGATTGTTTCCAGTAAAATTCTTACGTTTCCGGGAATGAAACATGACTGATCGCAAATAAAACCGAAAACATTGTGATTTCTGGGTAATTTATTTCCATTAGGTAAGCAAATTCCAATAATTCTGGGAACGGAATACCACTTATCACAATACCACAAAGCCTCGTCTAATTAATGTTTCTAAGCAAAATGCAGCTGGTGGATAAACTTTGGATGAACAGTTCGTGCAATGTCGAGGTTCTATCGATCCGCTTCATTTTATCTAGTTCGTACGTTCGGACAGATTTCCTACACAACAATGGTGGTTTCGAAATGTATAAAACAATCGATTCCTATAATATTATAAACAAAAAAGTTTGTATGTTTGTTACTCAATCACCCAAAAAATGACAATAACACCATATTAACTGAGTCTCCGCTAAATGTCCTGCCGTTTGTCTATCAGGGAGCTGTATTTCAAGAAGTTTGAGAGATAAGTGGACTGCTGAAGTTTTCACAAAATTTTCATATTTATTTTATAACCAGAAATGAAAAATTTAATACAGTCACGAAATAATGATTTCTACAATCATTTCTTTCTGTTTTCCTTGTTTATTTTTTGTGTGCGTGCAAAATTTAGTAATTAAATATTTTCAAAACGTGTTTCACTCGTCCAAGCATTGAATATTATGCAGGCGGAATTCTTTTTTCATACGAAGGTGTTTTACCTGTTATCTTACAGATTACAGAAACGGTCGGCCTACATAATGTTTATTGTGCGGAAAATCCTTGCTTCTGAATATGCATGACATTCTCCACTGTCAACTAGATAAGTATCATTTACGGGCTTAAATTATGTTCCATAAAACGAATAAGAAGCAGGTGTAAAATAGTCTTTTGTAAGGTTTGTTTTCATGTTCGCCTTGTTAACACTTCAGTTGACGTATATTGACATAGAGGTAATAACAAAAATTTGGAGGGAGCTCTATTATTGTAAAATCCAAACTGTTTTAGTGCGAATGTCTTTATTTAACACTGACTTTTTTTACTGTTATCATAGGAATACATAATTCACAGTATTAGTTTATTTCTCTGAAAATTGCTACCTATAACGTCTCATGACGAGAGAATGGATAGGACTCGGTGCATGTCATGAATTTTTACAGTAGCAGACTAATACTGTGAAATATTTATTCCTGTGATAACAATAAGGAACTAGCTAAGTGCGAGTCGGAATCGCGGACGAAGACTTTTATGTATGGGAAAAAAAATGTTACTAAATATTCGGTTTTGGGCAACCGTTCTACATAAAATATCAGAATTTTAGTTATCTAACTCATTCCATTTACGATCTAGACAATCGTGCCATACGGATAGACAAAACATACGACAGAGTGACGTCAATGGGGTTCGCCATCGATAAACGTTGGCCCCTTCGTCCACAACGCTATGCAAATCTTTGACACCTGACGACTTTGGTCTCTGAACGACTAATGAAATGTAAAACAAAATGTCGACAACGAGTGCAAGTGTACGAACCGCTATGAATTTGCATTCCGATAGTTGCTTAGAGACTAAAATCTTCAGGTATCGAAGATTTGCGTAGCCCTGCGAACGAAGGGGCTTAAACCTTGTAAAGACAATCACATACCAAGTTACCCAAAAACGGTAAAAATTTTAAACTGACTTTCATAACTATTATTTTTATGCAAGATTCAATATCGAATGAAAAATTGTTGCTTTGTTTTTTTTATTCCCTTCGAAGGAGACGAGTCGACGGGCCACCTGATGTTAAGTGGTCACCGTCACCCATGGACATCAGCAATGCCAATAACACAGCCATGTCACTGCTTTTCATGGAACACTTTATTTAAGCCTCTTTTCTCTTAGGAGACCACGTTATATTACTGAGAGAAAACCGTGGAGGAGAGCTCATTCATTGATCTCTGGAAACGAGCAGTTCTGGACTTCAGTGTTTCCGGATTATATGGGTGAACTCAACTTCGGTGACCTGTTGACAATTAAGGTATAAAGCCTTTCTTGCGAGAGACTGGCTTGTCTATGGCCGATTTAAATTTCTATCTTGTTATTGCAGTTCTAGTGGCATTACTATTGTAGAAGCGAAACCCAGCAAAATATTACTGCAGTATTCTGTAAAGTGGATAACACTTTACCAGGTGGGCGTTCTAATAAGAACTGGAAAATGCCTGCTATTTATTTCCTACATCTCTAAAGCCAAATATTTTAGTAAATACAATTTTAGTCCACAATTGTAAAAAGCTTTGAGAATCAAATCTTTACGCGGGACTTCCCTCAGAATAATTACAGCTATAGTCTTAAAAAACACTTCGTTTGTGGTTGCCAAAATATGATAACAGACCGACTGACACAACACCATACAAATTTATACTTTTCGCAGCTCAAAAAAGTCCTATAAAATATATCCAGCATATGTTAAACAATGAGTTTTTCACACAAAAGAAAAACTGTGACCCGCAGACGGCTGTTTATTCAAAGTGGGCACATCATTTGTATGTACGTGCCTTGCTTAGGAATTAACTAGGCGAATGTACCAACGAAATGTTTCATTGTAGGCCTGTAAATGAGTTACTTGTACTAAAGGTCGTTCCAAGGATAATAGAAGTTTAAAATTAAACAAAACTTATAACGAAAAATAAAAAAAATCACAACTGAAACCTCTTTCCCAGTTTATCACCCATGCAGCAGAATGAGGATCCATAACGATTTAAGTTGAAAATGTAGATTTAAAGAGCTAAGGATTCCATAAAATACAGTGATAAAATTTTTGTTTTATGACAAATATTGACGAAGTTATGACCAAATTACTAAACGGATTTTCGGCTGAACCACGATCGAGCTCTGCGATGCCACACGTTTCGGCCGCCGGCGAATATTGGCTACCATAAAATTATTTATAAAATCGCAACGAATGAACCGATTTCGATGATTTAAAAAGTATATTAATTAAAAAGCTTATTAGATCATTATTGATATAGGGTTGATTTGTTGACCTAGTAATGATCAAAACTAAAACAAAAAATATACAACATTTTTTTTAGATTACAGTTTTTTTTAGATTTTGAGTTGATTTGCTGACCTAGTAATGATCAAAACTAAAACAAAAATATACAACTAAATCACTTTCCCAGTTTATCACAAATGCAGGATCGGAAGTACAAGAACATAGAAAACTAATAAATAAATAAAACTAGTTTTAACGGGGTAATGCACGAACTTTATTTATTTGTTGACATTTCGCAGCCATTTCAGGTCTGCATCGTCAGAATATTCTCAGAAACCTGAGGTCATAAACTATATGCTTACCAAAATTCATTTAAAGCCGTTCAGTTGTTTAGGCGTAAAAGCGTAATAAACAAACAAACTCACTAGGTATCGCATTTATGATCTTATAATTATGATTAGGGTTAGCACCCATGAGGAGCCAGACCGGGTCGGTACGGTGGTTGGTATATAGTGAAATTATATGAATGTAAAATTGAGATGGCTGTTAAATTTTTTAAGCATTATTCTGACGATGCAGACCTGAAAAGGCTGCGAAACGTCAATAAATAAATAAAGCTCGTGCATTAACCCGTTATAACTAGTTTTATTTAATGAGTGATGTGCGTGAAAATCTGAGAAACATATAAACTAATAACTGCGAGTCAGACTCGCGTTGCAGGGGTTCCCTACAAACTTATAAGTAACTTCCTTTTGGATGAACTTTGGTTTTGTATACTTGTAACTTAATAACCTTATTTTTTGTATTATTCATTACAATTTTAGATTTACTTTAATTGATACATTTTGAGATTTTAGGTCAACGACAAGCACCTGCCGGGTGCGCGGCCATTCGGAGACGGGTGCCGCGACTCGCCCTCTCTGCACGCACTAGGGGGACCGCGGTCCTCATAGTGCGTGTCGGGTGACGGTGCAGGAATATTTTCTGGTTTTCAGTGGCCCTATTCAGGGCGTAAGTAGGGCCCTGTTTACTTCAGCGAGCTACAGGGCTGGCTGAAGGGGACACGGAGGAGTCCCACATACCTTCTTCTCGCTCCCTCAGTGGTTGAAGGATGCCTAAGGCATTTCCCAGACACAAAAAAAAGGTTAACGACAAGTGCCCTACAGAATTATATTACCTTGTGTGCCAAATTATGTGACACAAACGGCCGTGTATTTTGGTTGCATAAACATAAAGCTTTGATGATTTCACAGCTCTAAAGGATCACAAACTTAAAAATTTGAAATAATTTCAACTTTGCGCACGTTCCGGGAAAGAATTTTTGGACCTATTCCTTTTTCACCTTTGAAGTACGAAACCCTTTACTTGCAGATGGAAATTAGCCTGTCCATACCCCGTTGAAATTTCTACTGCTCTGCCGATTGAAATATAAATGTCAGCTGTAGAAAGCAGTTCACTTTCAAATAAATCTAACACATTTTCTTCTGCATTAGAAGAAGAGGGCAAATATATGATGTATCGAAGGGCTTAAAAAATTAAACAGCCATCTCAATTTTACATTCATATAATTTCACTATATACCAACCCGGTCTGGCTCCTCACGGGTGCTAACCCTAATCATAACTATAATATCATAAATGCGATACCTAGTGAGTTTGTTTGTTTA